CCTTGACCTTGGAGGTAGGGGTGCAGGTGTTGTGCATGACATATCATCTTATTATGTGTTACTATTTGGTGCCAAGTATTTTCAAAATCCCTTGAACTAAAAAAAAGTTATAGATCGGACACAAAATATATGCTATAACAGATTATGTTAATCTTTGAAAGGTAGGGACCCATGTTTTGCTCCTGACATATCGTCTTATTATTGTGATTATTTGTGAAAAGTATTTATAAAATCCCTTGATCTATGAAAAAAGTTATGTGACCTGGACACAAAATATACCTATAACAGACTATGTAAATCTTTGACCTATATGTGTGACTTGACCTTGGAGGTAGGGGACACATGTGCTACGCATGACATATCATCTTATCATTGTGACTATTTGTGCCAAGTATTTCAAAATCCCCTTGAATCTAATGAAGAAGTTATGGACGGGACACAAAATATACCATATAACAGACTCTGTTAACATTTGACCTCCAAGTGTGACCTTGACCTTGCAGGTAGGGAGTGCAGGTGTTGTACTTGACATTTCATCTTCTTATTGTGACTTTATTGTGACTATTTTGTGCCTAGTTCTTTCAAAATCCTAAAGAAGTTCTAGATTGGACACAAAATATACCCTAAAACAGACCATGTTAACTTTTTTGACCTCTAGGTGTCACCTATTGAACTTGGAGGTAGGGATGCAGGTGTTGTGCATGACATATCGTCTTATTGTAGTGACTGTTTCTGCCAAGTATTTACAAAATCCTTTGATCTATGAAAAAAGTTATGGACGCGGACACAAAATATACCCTGTGACAGACTATGTTAATCTTTGACCTCCATGTGTGACCTTGACCTTGGAGGTAAAGGTGACCGGTTGTTGCGCATGACACATCATCTCATTATTGTAAATAATTGTGGCAAGTGTTTACAAAATCCTTTCACAGATAAGAAAGTTATGGACCGGACACGACATATACATTCAAATAGACACTGTTTGACCTTGAAATGAGCAAGTGCGACCTTGACCCTGGAGGTAGGGGTCTGGTTGTTGCGCATGACACATGGTCTTATTAAAACAAACATTTGTGCCAAGTTATTTCGGATTCCTTGGATAAATGACAAAGTTCTGGACCGGACACAAATTTCTATATCCCCCTTTTTTCTTCGAAAGGCGGGGGACAAAAGGTGCCCTATAAATGTAATACAGGGTAACGCTCTGCAGAGTGGCCATCTATGGAACAATAATCTCTTCATAACAACACCCACAAATTTAAACCTCTCTTAAAACCTCTCCAGAGCAACACCTCTCTAGAAACAACCAAAATCTTTTTTTCTGAAATGACATTGCTCTGCCGAGGTTGTACCGTATTTCTGTTCTTAGTAAGTTATCAAGCACCTGACTATAAGTATTGATTTTCTAAAAAACTTCACGTTACAAAACAAATGACAGCAGAACGTCATTCATCAAGATTTATCAAATTAACTGCAAAACCTGTTAATGGAGGATGACATCTGACTTTTGATTGATTTATATTGAGGAAAAGAAAGATCATTTGGTACATTTAGAAAGCTTACTTTGTCTTCTGTGACTCGGCTCGCCGTCTGCTGAATTTGTTGTAATGCCTGTCCTGAATGCTTTCATGATTTAACACTGTAAAAATATACAAGTCATATCTTTAAACATCTTTACATACATCTTTAGGCCAACAGTTGCCAAATAAAGGGTAAATAAGATTGGCCAGCCTTAAAAATATCTTTGTTTTCCTTTCCAGAAGTGTTTCAAATAAAAACAAATACATTTGATCTCAAACCTGCCAGTGACTAGCCTTTGCCACCAGTTTAGAACCATGTCAGTCTGCGCACTCGTACATTCTTACCAGGCTCTAAACTGTTGCTAGCTCTTTTTGTTGGTTTGCAGGTAACCATTCGAATCAAATGTGCGAGATCTACTGTCACAGAGTAATTTTCGACGTACCAAAGATTGACCCCTGCATTACAAAATTGATGCTCTCCCTTTTGTGCTCATTGAACGAACCTCAATTCGATAGTCCTTAAACATTAGATGGACTGTTCCAAATTCAAAACGGGGTTAATTCCTTACCAAAATTCAGCAGGTTCAGCAGGTTAAGGGTTTAATAATACAAACAAGTACAATGTAGTAAAAAAAAGAGTCAAACTTAAAACGAGATTTTTCCCCAATTTTTGCCCGCATATGGTCAAAAATGGGATAAAATTTTGATTGGCGTTAGGAATATCCTTCTTTGTGTTGGAAACCAGGTCTGAGAATAATAAAATTAATTTTTTTTTAAGAACCAATCAAAGAATATTTTTTATTTAGTCTCAATCAAAATCTGTTGTTTATTTACCTTTTTTTGAATTCTGCACTTGCCTTTTCTTGCAGTTTTCATGTAATTTGTTTTTCTTTACTTGGGTTAAAGAGGTACTACAATTTGCAAACTTGATTTTTTTTATTAAAATATCAGAAATGCTTCCTCATATCAAAGAATCAAAAAGGCCTTGCGGGATTAAAACCCACACTGTGATGAAGGGCAAGTTGATCTGAAATCAACAACCTTAATCTGCTTGGTAACAAGACATATTTCTGTTTGTTATTATAATCCATACAACCAAACAGCCCATTAGGTATCATGAGCCTCTGTTTGTAATAAAAAGAAAACCTAAATGCCCATTTCTTGTGACAAAAAAAAATATCTTAACATTATCAAATCATTAAAAGTAAAATACAGTATTGATTATTTCTCGTTAAAAGTGAATATTATTTTGGTCGTCAAAAGTTGACTAGTCAAAGGTTTATTGGCATTTTAAAGAAACATGTCTTCTCGTCACGTAACCATATAAGTTAATACACATGGAAAGTAATAAATAATTTGACATTTTAAGTGGTAGGACAGTTTCGTGGTTTTTTATATTAACAGTTACTTAAATCAAAGTAAATGAATACTATCCTATGGCAAGTTTCTTTTTTTAAATTTTCATCTTATGAAAGCAATACCCATTCTGAGGATTTGGCGAAAGCAACATGAAGTTTCTATGGAAACAATAACAATTCCAAGCTTTTATGATAAAAAAACCCCCAAAAAAACAAGTGCAACTGCATTCAATGTTAACACTCATCTGTTCACCACTTTTGAAAAAGTTTCTTAATTTTAAAAATGGCATAACTCCAAAAGTATTGCTTCCAGAATTATGCCCCATGTCGAACAACTGCACCTTGTCAATATAAAGCAAGTATTCAAAGTTATCTTAAAAAATTTGAATAATGGGTTACATTAAAGTTTTTTGCACAATGACGATGATGTGATCATAATAGTTTGACTTTTTCTTCAAAAACAGACGATGATGCAGCGATCATAATATATATAAGTTCGACTTTTTCTTCAAAACAGACGAGCTAAAAAACCAATCAGGATTCTATGAATGCAAAACCAATCCTAAGGTTTTTATAAATGAACAAACACAACACTATATATCTACCTATGGCGCTTCTTGCTCGGTGTCCTCCGTTCACTTTTGAAAACTGAGAATAGATCAATTCCGCTAATTTGTCCTCGAATTCCTGAGCCCAGTAGTTCAGAATTGAAACAGTAAAAAAGTCATTTCTTTTACATTCTCTACACAGAATCGGTCGCAAGAGATCAGATGAGGGGCTGAAAAAGAAAAAGGAATTTTATAGACAAACAGGAAAGTCAAGCAAATTGTCAAATTTACAAACTTGTGTCATTGCAACAATTTTTTATCACCAAACAGTTAAACCATTTAATCATGGCTTTACCAACTTCAAAAATCCCTTGCTACATGACAGAGTCATGGACTGGATAAAATTTTCTAACTACTGCCCTTTGACTTTGAAGTGTGACCTTGACCATGGTGCTCTGGTCTAAGTCCTTGCGCATGACATACCTACCATCTAATCATGCTTAACATTTTTGTAACAACATGTTTCAAAATCTCTTGATGCATGAGTAATGGACTGGACAGGGTTTTTTCAAACACACAGACTCAGGGACAGGGATAACACTCTTTTACCATTGTCAGTATCATGGCAAGGGCCATAATAAAAGGAATAAATGTGCGATGAGGAATGCTAAGTAACCAAGACGGATAGAACAAAAAAACATAAACATACAGACTGGCATAATAAAATTAAATCCTAGATAAAATACAACATACGCAGTCTTGCTTTAGTAACACCATTATGCTAGTTAAAGCCTCTGCATGAGCTGTGGAATATAAAATAAAATAACTTAAGATAATTCAATAATTTCATTTAGTAAGATATAATCTATATCCCTCACTTTATGAATCTCAGTACATTCTACAAAATTTATATCACCTTCTGTTTATTTAACAAATTAATCATGGGCAATAAAGCAAGTTTACGGACTGGTTGGTCAGACTGAGGAAGGTATATGGCCCAAAGCACAGCCCGACAGTTTAGACTCAGGTCAGGCTGCAGGATTGTGTGGACCGGCCTGGCTCTATACTGGTGGGTAAAAAAAAAAAAAGGTTTATTACTTTTTTTGTTCAAGCTGGTTAAGGGATTTATAAAATCTAAGGATCAGGATGTAATAAGAAAACATAAAACAATCTAAAGACTTTACTTTGAAGTCAAGTTTGGGTAGGGATAGGCCATTATGTGTTCTACGGGTATATTGTGAGCTGTGATGAGCTGCCATAGGAAGTACTGTTCTAAAGTCTCCCATTCCAAGCTGGCATCTGAAATAGTAAAATTTATTTTTTATTTCTTCTCTTTTTCCATCCATCAAGCAGACACAGTCAATGCCAAATTGAAAATTTTCAGCTTTGCTGTGTTTAAAGAAGAATTCTGGTACCCCTGCATTTTTTTTTTTTGTAAATATTAACTCAAACTTAGGCAAAAAAGCAGCACTCCTAAAGCCTGTATGATGGCTTCCCCGCATGAAAGAGGTAAACAGTGGACAAAAATAAAACATTGCATGTAAAGAAAAAGGAGTAATATGATGTTCCGGACAATCAGCTAAGGATGTGCTGCTATATAGAAATAACATAGTAGAACTTTGGTAAGTCAAAGTTGAAGGAACTTGTGTAAAAAGTTCTACAACTTTTGTATAAGGTTGAATCTACTGACAAAATTTCAAGCTGTCTAATTTAACAAGTGCTTAACAATACGTGTAGAAACACTTCAAAGTTTGATCTTTATCACTTAACATTTCATTTCTTGTATATGTGAGCATGATCAGTATTTTGCATTTCATTAAAAGGAAGTTCATCACTTTGAGACCATTGATGTTTTCATTAGAAACATGGCGGAGATGAATGGTCTGAAACAATTAGTGCTCTTTATCACATCTTAAGTGATATATATTATATTAATTTTTTTCATGGTCAAGGTCAGCTGAATTGACTACATATTTCAAAAGATTTACTAGAATAATGCTGATTGACAAACAGTTGGTAACAAAAAATGTTTAGGATATAATACAAATTTGCTTAATATATAAAAAATATTCCCCCACTCTTTTCATAAATAGAACATTACAGGTGAATTCCAATGTATATCAATTATTTTACAGAGTTTTCATTCGGCCATGAGTGTTATTTATCATTCATGTGAAGTAAATTATAAAATTGAAAGGAAATAGCAGCAAATGTTAAAAATTAAATTTTGAATTTCATATGGTTCCCTCTAACTATATAACTGTAACTGAATAGGCATAATGTCAGCTTTAAAAGCAATAAATAACACTAGTTAACAGTCCTGTTATTATCAGAATCAGATGCTTCTATTTCTTTGCATTTCTTGCATTGTTTTTTTCTCTTTTACAGTTTTTTGTATCTTTTTATTTTTGGTTTTTTGTCCTACATCCCTCTGTTGATTTCTTTTCATGGAATTAGTTCTTATTCATCTTTGGCTTTCTTAACTTATCTGCAATCTTTCAACCATGCTGTTTTTTTAAATTGACTTGTTTTTCTTTCAACCATTATTAAAATGGTTGAAAGAAAAACAAGACAATTTCAAAACCATATAATATACCTACTTATGAACCAGACTGAACCATTTTATAAAAACATTTGATAGGCCCCATTTGAATTTATTCCAGTAAGTTTGGTTTCAAAAATCCATAAAATATTCGGGAAAGTTTTTGTTAAAAGGAATTTTTGAAATAGTACAGTAAATATATGGCCGAAAAAAGGGATAAAACAAGAAATGGTTTATTAAAACAAAAAATGCCCCCGGCTCAAGATTCCCTTGTCAGTAACAGCAAATATTTCAAAAAAATGTTTACCCATTCACTCAGTTTTAGTCAGTTATGAACAGAAAAATTGCCAAAAAATTTGTAAACACAAGTTATATAGCTTGACAAAGTCATGGCTATTTTTAATTGTGAAAAAATATAAGTTGCCCAAGTCATTGCTCTGACTTGTGAAGTTGAAAAATATTCAACTTCATGCAAGTTATCTTCCTACCAAATATGGAAATACATCTGTCATTAAATAAAGGCTGTATGGGCAAAAAGTGTAAAAAATCTATTTTGAGCACTGGTGACATTAACCAAAACTGACCCCTAACTATATCCAAAAGAATAATACCATGGTAAAGTTATCTTTCTACCAAAATATGAAATACATCTGTCATTAAATAAAAGCTGTATGGGCAAAAAGTGTAAAAATCTATTTTTGAGCACTGGTGACCTTGACCCAACTGACACCTTACTCCATCCAAAGGAAGAATACCATGCAAAGTTATCTTCCTACCAAAATATGAAATAGCATCTGTCAATAAATAAAAGCTGTATTGGCAAAAGTGTAAAAAATCTATTTTTAGCACTGGTGACCTTGACCAACTGACCACTAACTTCATCAAAGTTTATGTTTCTATCAATTATAAATAACATCTGTCTATAGAAAAAGGTCAATACACCTGTAAAAAAAGTAAAAATCTATTTTTTAACATTGAGTGACCTTCACATTGGTAACATGACCTTGACCCAAAATGACCCCTTACTACACCCAAAGAAGGAGGACCTCCCTGGCATGTTTGTATTAAACTAAGACATCAACTTAAAATATAAAGGCTGTATGAGCAAAAATGTTTATATTTATTTTTTTAAACCAATGACCTTGACCTTGTCATAGAGACCGCTTACCACCACAAAAAATTAGAGGACATCAAATGTATCCACCTTATAAATATTGAAAGATATCATTAAAGAAATTAAGCAATTAGGAGAAATTTTAAGAATAAGATCCAACTTTCTAAGAATAAGGTTAACCAGACAGGCCCTATTTTCAAAGTGAAAAAGGGAAATAACAGGAAATATGGATGACACAGTTATATCACTTGGCAATATCATGTACTTTGTATTGATAAGTAAGTGTGGAAAATTATAAAGCCATTAGTATAAGTATAGAAAGAACTTAAGATATTTCCACTTGCCGTTTTAGGTTAACCATTTTTCATTTTCCAAGTGCTGAAAAGGGCAATAACTTGGTAAATATGAAAGCCAGAGTTATGTAACTTGCCCAGATCATGTACTTTGTATTGTAGTAAGTGTGTAAACTTAGAAGCCATTGGTACATGTAGAACTTAAGAAAAATCCAACTTGCCGTTCTAGGTTAACCTCGTACGGACAGTCGGGCGGACGGAAGGTTCAATCACTTTATGCCCGGGGGCATAAACAAGAGCTGTCACAGGAAACAGCCAAGCTCGACTAATAAAATACTGGACGCAGTAAGGAAAAAACTATGAAAGAAAAATCAATTATGTATAATTATTTATTAAGTTATAGTAAAACTAGAAATGTGTCCATAGGACACGGGTGCCCCCACCGCGCCACTGTTCTGTCAATCTTTTTACTAAGTCAAGGGAAATAACTTTACAAATACTGGATAAATCTACAAGCGAAACCCCAGGTGAAAATCTAAATATGCTGAGCAACCTGCCCATAAGGTTTAATGACTATGTCAAATCCTTTTTCAGTAACTTGAGACACAAGTTGAAAATTGCAAAAATTTTCTAAGTGAAGGGCAATAACTCTAAAAATACTAAATAAATCCAGACGAAAATACCTGGTGCACAACTGCACATGCTGATCAAGATTCCTGTAAAGTTACATGACTCTAGTCAAATACTTTTTGAGTTATGTGCGACACATGTTGAAAATTGCAAAATTTTACTAAGTCAAGGGAAATAACTCTGAAAATACTAAAAATATCCAGACTAAAATACCCAGCTGCACAACTACACATGCTGATAAACATTCCTGTAAAGTTTCATGACTCTAGGTCAAATACTTTTTGAGTTACCTGCGACACAAGTTGAAAATTGCAAAATTTTACAAAGTCAAGGGCAATAACTCTGAAAATACTATAAATATCCAGACGAAAATACCCAGGTGCACAACAACACATGCTGATCAACATTCCTGTAAAGTTTCATGACTCTAAGTCAAATACTTTTTGAGTTACATGCGACACAAGTTGAAAATTGCAAATTTTTACTAAGTCAAGGGCAATAACTCTGAAAATACTAAATATCCAGACGAAAATACCCAGGTGCACAACAACACATGCTGATCAACATTCCTGTAAAGTTTCATGACTCTAAGTCAAATACTTTTTGAGTTACATGCGACACAAGTTGAAAATTGCAAATTTTTACTAAGTCAAGGGCAATAACTCTGAAAATACTAAAAAATATCCACACGAAAATACCCAGGTGCACAACAACACATGCTGATCAACATTCCTGTAAAATTTCATGACTCTAGGTCAAATACTTTTTGAGTTACATGCGACACAAGTTGAAAATTGCAAAATTTTACTTAGTCATGGGCAATAACTCTGAAAATACTAAAAATATCCACACGAAAATACCCAGGTGCACAACTACACATGCTGATCAATATTCCTGTAAAGTTTCATGACTCTAGCTCAAATACTTTTTGAGTTATGTGCGACACAAGTTGAAAATTGCAAAATTTTACTAAGTCAAGGGCAATAACTCTGAAAATACTAAAAATATCCAGACGAAAATACCCAGGTGCACAACTACACATGCTGATCAACATTCCTGTAAAGTTTCATGACTCTAGGTCAAATACTTTTTGAGTTACATGCGACACAAGTTGAAAATTACAAAATTTTACTAAGTCATGGGCAATAACTCTGAAAATACTAAAAATATCCACACGAAAATACCCAGGTGCACAACTACACATGCTGATCAATATTCCTGTAAAGTTTCATGACTCTAGCTCAAATACTTTTTGAGTTATGTGCGACACAAGTTGAAAATTGCAAAATTTTACTAAATCAAGGGCAATAACTCTGAAAATACTAAAAATATCCAGACGAAAATACCCAGGTGCACAATTACACATGCTGATCAACATTCCTGTAAAGTTTCATGACTCTAGGTCAAATACTTTTTGAGTTACATGCGACACAAAATGAAAATTGCAAAATTTTACTAAGTCAAGCGCAATAACTATGAAAATACTAAAATTATCCAGACGAAAATACCCAGGTGCACAGCTACACATGCTGATAAACATTCCTGTAAAGTTTCATGGCTCTAGGTCAAATACTTTTTGAGTTACGTGCGACACAAAAGTGAACGGACGGATGGACGGAAGGACGTCCGGACAGACAGACGGATGGACGGACAAGGGTAAATCTAAATGCCTGCCACTAACGTGGGGGCACAAAAATAACATTTGTTAAAACAAATTCCAAGATCAAGGGAAAAAATTTCTAGAAATAGTCACGCTAGAGTTATGAACCTTGTCACACAACATGTATGTAATGATAAGAAGTATAATTATATTTGAAGTTTGAAGTAGATACCTTAAAAAGTAACAAAGTTATAATATTTCTTAAAGAAAATCCTAAGTTCAAAGAGAAATAAATTTGTAAAAATTACTTCAAGAGATATGAACATTGTATCATAAAATATAATTGATTATAAGGAATAAGTATTTGAAGTTTGAGGTAGATACCTTTAAAACTAAAAAAGTTATAGTTAAAAATAACATTTTTCTAGTAAAAAAAATCTAAGTTGATGGGGAGATAATTCATGCAATATTGGTGCTAGAGTTATGACCTTGTCACATAAGATGTGGATGATGATAAGGTACATTTATTTGAAGTATGAAGTTGATCCCTTTAGAAATAAATAAGTTACAGTAAAAAATAGTATTTTTAAGGAAAATTTTAAGTTCAAGGGGAGATAAATCTGAAAATATTGGTGCTAGAGTTATGAACCTTGTCACATAAGATGGGGATGATGATAAGGTACATATATTTGAAGTATGAGGTTGATCCCTTAAGAAATAAAGAAGTAACAGTAAAAAATAGTATTTTTTAAGGAAAATTCTTAGTTCAAGGGGAGATAAATCTGAAAATATTGGTGCTAGAGTTATGAACCTTGTCACATAAGATGTGGTTGATGATAAGGAACATATATTTGAAGTTTGAAGTTGATACCTTGATACCAAGAAATGAGAAAGTTATAGTGAAAAATATTTTACTGCACCAAAACTTTAATCTGAAATCTGGACGCGGACGCCGGGGCGAGTAGGACAGCTCTCCATATACTTCGTATAGTCGAGCTAAAAATGTTGTGAACAGATAAACAACTAATGGCCATCAAGTCATTCCACTCTGACAATCCTCACATAATTATTCAATCAACAAGAGGCTTGGAAGAAAATTCAACTGTTGAAGCACGTTACTTCCACATATCACAAGAACTGCACGAACAAGACTGAACAGAATCCAGGATTGGTAGCTTTTGATCCATGTGCTGGACTTCAACACACTCAATGGAGATCCACTAAATGATGTTATTAAACATTCAAGATCTTAACTCAAGCCTTGTAATTTTTGTAAGAGATGATTTTTTAAAACCTATTTAAAACAAGAACTGTTGGAGGACAGTAATGCTCGACTATTCGAAAAGTTGTCACAAGTGTGTTTCATTGAATATAATAATGCTTACTTATATGAATACATAAAATTATTCCAAAAAGTACAAAGGCTTGTTATAAAGATGTTTTATCGAGTGAATCACTGCTTTATTATTATGAATGCATAAAATTATCCCAAAAGTAAAAAGCCTTGTTATTAAGATGTTATATCTAGTGAATCACTGCTTTATTATTATGAATGCATAAAATTGTTCCAAAGAAAGCACAAACCCTTCAAAAGTTATGGAGATACCAGCTTACAAGCAAAAACTTTACCAAGGATTTCTAAACCGAAAAAGGTGCATAATTATTAAAAAAATATCAGAATTATGGGACTTGTGCCAATCATGTTAAATAATCACAGTGAAGAAGTGTGTGAAGTTTCAATCCATTCCTTTCAGTAGATATGGAGATACCAGCTTGCACGCAAAAAACTTAACCAAGAATTTCTAAGTTGAAAAGGGGCATAATTATGCAAAAAAAGCAATTAGAGTTATGGGACTTGTGCAAATCATGTAAGATAATCACAGAGAACAAGTGTGTAAAGTTTCAATCCATTCCCTTCAGTAGTTATTGAGATACCAGCTTGCACGCAAAAACTTAACCAAGAATTTCTAAAACTTAACCAAGAATTTCTAAGTCGAAAAAGGGGCATAATTATGCCAAAAAGGCAAATCAGAGTTATGGGAGTTGAACCAATTATATTACATAATCACAGAGAACAAGTGTGTGAAGTTTCAATCCATTCCCTTCAGTAGTTATGGAGATACCAGCTTACACTCAAAAACTTAACCACAGGGATGCCGACAAATGGGTGACTGCATTAGCTCGATTATTCTGCAAATAGTCGAGCTAAAAATAAGTCACCCAGGTCAATTTTCATTTCTGAAGAATCTTGTGGTAAAAGTCCACTATGTATACCAAATGCAAAATATCTAAGTCCTTGGCCTTATAATATCAGAAAACAAATTATTTTTTTCTAAAATAAACCTACTAAAAGACAAACAACATCAACGGTTGTAGAAATATTGGATGATTAACTTAAAATAAGGACACAAGGTAGCAACTTGTCCATAAAATATATTAAGCATTAGCTTATATTTCGATATGACAAAAAGAGCCAGTAAACTATCTTTGGAGCTCCATCTTTCCTCTAAATAATAACAATCATCAATTCCTTTAATTAATAACAATCATGATAACAATTTTCATTCCTTTAAATGATAACAATTTTCATTCCCTTTAAATGATAACAATTTTCATTCCCTTTAAATGATAACAATTTTTAATTCCTCTAAATCGTAACAATTATCATTTCGTTTAAATGGTAACAATTATCATTTCCTTTAAATCATAACAATTACATTTTAATTTGTTATCAAAAATCATAATTAGTGAAATGAGCTTTCCATCAGACAGGTTTCAAACTGGATAATAAAATTGCATACATTTATTATAAATAACTTACTTTTAACAAATTATTTATAATTAGTAACAACCTCTGTAAGGACCTCCTTAGAGCAATTACCTCTTTACAACAACCATACTAATTCATCTTAAAGTAAGATTTCACAATAAATAATATCTCTAAAAACAACATCTCTCTGAAACAACCAAAACTTTGTCTCTCTCAAATGGTGTTGCTCAGCAAAAGTCGCACTGGGTAATTATTAGGTTTTGAAATACAGTAGAACTTCTATGAGTCAAATTTTGATAAGTTATTTTTCTCAATGTTTCAAGTTTTTTCTCCAATATTTTCAAACATATAAGTGAGCTGAATCTTGATATGACAATTTTTTTAATGTGTCGGAGTTTACGTGTCCCATAAAAAATATGACAATATTTAACAATATGAAAGTAGAAGTTTATCGATCAATTTGACACCTTTGATCTGGAGATATTTTCACACCTTTTCTAGCCGCGATAATGATAGCAGATTTGTGTAATCGGTGTTAATTACACAGCTGTGTGTTCTAACAGTCTTTGTTAACGTTCCTTTCAGTGAGGATATGCTTTCTCATTATTCTAATTACTGTAGTTGTATTTTGAAAGTAAACAGTATGAATTAGCTCGAAATCTTCCAGTTGTTGTGTGTTTATTATCACACGTGATATATTAACTATAAGCTGGTTTAGTAAATGCCCTTTTCTTTTACAACCCATTTATAACACACTAGTTATTATCGATGGCTCAAAATTTTGTAGTTACTTTCAAGACCAATTGACTGATTCAGGATTCAAAGTTTTTACCAAAGTCCCTTCAACTTCTACTTACAGAAGTTCTACTTTATATCATTTTTGTGTACATAATTATCAAGTGATTCACAGATACACTTACTCAGAACTGACAGAAACGACTCCTTTCTAAACATGACGAGATTTCCCTGAAGTATCTGACAGATGAGGTCTTGTAACTGAGATCCGTCAATGGATGAAACTATCAGTTGTAGCAGCTCCGCGCTGCCCATACACGTGTTTGGAAACTAAATGAAACAGTAATTATAAGTAAAGTTAATACACATGTTTGGAAACTAAATAAAAGATTTAGACATATTCGTAGTTGTAAGTATGAAATACCATCTTATTTACTAGGGATGTCATTCGGAGTCCGGATATCCGAACGTTTGGATAACGATTCGGTGTCCGGAGCCAATTTTCTGATCCGGATGTTCTTACAAAGTATTTTAAAATATTGAGAAAATGTGATAATTACATGCCTTGAGATAATCGTAGACATGGTGTTGACACCATATTGTATATTGTACCTTTGTTTGACAATACACATCATAACCTCTGCAGTCCACAAAAAAATCAATAATTACTATAATAATTACGAGTCAATTATGACACATGTTGTTAATCAAATTTAAGTTTTGTAAGATTCTAAGTCCCGTGCGACTGTCATCGGCAACGATGTTACATATTTTTATGTCCAAATTTCAATATTTAATTAGGTTATTATTTTTGTATATATTTCGGCTTACCGACCCGTCGACTCCTTATTTTTAGACATTGAAAAATCTGCAGAAATAAAATAAGCAAATAAAGAAATTCACTTACGAATTATGTTAATTATCAAAGCTTTTATTGAAATTGATACGAAAATTATCCGACAAAATAACTTTCTCCTTTAGTATTAATCAAACATGTGCATTTTTTTAAAAACATTTTTTTCACATTTCTTTTTTCACTTATGAACACTTAAAATGTGAGTAATTCATGTAAGTTTTGGCACTTTCTTTGATGATTCGAATCAAACAGCCAGGGCTACATGATGGTAAACATCAAAGATTGGCAGATTCTTTTGAAAAGCCGGCTACACGCGTGTCAAAGGTCATCCTGTGTAAATTGTATGCATGTTATTGAACAATGGAAACATTATATTTAATTTTTACAGGTATTATTTTGTTTTCACAAATGTGAGCGAATTTTATTGCGTACTATAGCGCTAATTGAGGAATTCAGACAATCGGCGGCGATTTTCGTTTCCATTTCATTTGAAATCTTAAGTACCACACGCACTTAATTTATTAATAAAAGCTAGTCGTATTCTATATAGAAGAAATAAAATCAATAACGGAAGATTTTTGATATGTATCATTCAATTAAAAAGGAAGAAAAATGAAATACTACACTTTGAAGAGGTCGCGAAGAAATGGTTACGTCATATCAGACATCTAAGAATATAACAACGATCCGAACATCCAGATGTATCTGGATGTTTGATTCGGATATCCGGATGGCCGTTTCGGCTCCAGATGACATCCCTATTATTTACAGAACAAGGAGGCCTAGGTGAGGCAATATTGCTCACCTGAGAAAATGGTAAATCAGGGAAAACTTTCAATGAGTAGGACTTATTTTACCTGCGAGCCACGATTATTCAAATGTTTATTTAGGTTAATAGACAAATTTATTTACATAATATCTAATGTGCATTGTAATACACAGTTTTTTTTCTCTTTCTAAAGCAGCGGCCTTTAATAGGCTGTTTCTTCTCATGATAACTATTAAAATTAAAATCATGCAATTTTTTCCCTACACTTCAATTTACAGCAAGTACTTCCCCTTTTGCAAAATTACTGTGCTATTTTCCCAAAACTTTAATAGAAGAGTCGCATCCCATACATGTGAAAATAGCCCTGTTGTATCACACAAGAGCTATATTTGTTTTCCTATATTAGAATATGTTAACTAATTGATACCTATTGTTTTTCTAAATTTATGTCAACATACACTATGTAACCCACAGGCCTGGGCTAATTTTGACCTCTTGGACATAATTTATATATACAACCTTATCATAGTAAAAACCACAAAGTAATGGTAAATGTTTGAGCTGAAGGCATAGAAGTTTATAGAGAAAGACAGACAGATTGTTAAAGATTTCATTTCTAAGGTCTATTTTTAGCAACTGTTACATAATTATGCAACAATTAGACTGAAAAAAATTGAAATCATTTGTGGATTTAAGGATCTGTTATTGTGAAAATTGATTAAAATGTGGATAAAAGAAGATGCTGTTTTAGGAAATTCTAGATTAAACTGACCAACACTTGACCAACATCATGCCTTCACAAAAACAGCTCACTTCTCAACACTATGAGCTCAGGTGAGCTAAAAATTACAGCTCAAGCATTCCTGATTTAACAAAAGACATTATTTATAGTATAAGAAATAATCTTAAAACTGAAATCATTTTTATCTCTGTTTTCCAGTTCCAGAAATATATGTACCAATACAATGAGTTCACAAAAAAAAGTCAAACAACATTTTCTAAAGCCCAAAATGAATGTAAAACTGGATTTACTTATTTAACAAGAAAAACTTTTTCTAGCATATTCTTACATATTATTTGTAATTTCTGCTGGAAGTGGTTCATTATATCCTATTTTTCATTACAAATTTTCTAAAAAATACTTCGTATTATTTTGAAATTTGACACTGTGACTTTAAATTAGCACTTATTACTTTCGATGCAGAAGTGTTAAAAAATGTTGTTACCTTGTTAACAGACTTTGTCACTTCATATAACAGAAGTGACAACAAAGTTAAACTTGAGATGCCACAGAATTGACGCATATCCACGTCTGATCTCTACGACACAGGATATTATGTCGTGCAATTTATCATTATTTTCAAATGAAAACATTAATGAGCCGTGTCATGACAAAACCAATATAATGGGTTTGCGACCAGCATGGATCCAGACTAGCCTGCGCATCCACGCAGTCTGATCAGGATCCATGCTATTCGCTTTCAGTTTCTCTACTTGTTATAGAGTTTGTAAGCGAACAGCATGGATCCTGATCAGACTGCGTGGATGCGCAGGCTGGTCTGGATCCATGCTGGTCGCAAACCCATTATGTTGGTTTTGTCATGATACGGCTCAATTTTAAGTTAAGGCTGAAGAAAGCCATATGAAAAGTATAGAATTTACAGTGCAGACACATAATTTTAAAATTTCAACCTTCAAGGATGACATTGCCTTTAGCCAGCACAGTGGCAATATGAGTCCCGCATATTGCCTTGTTGAGGTGAATGTTTGAGTAAAGTTGGGAGAAAGGTCCTTCAATACGGTTTATTAATTGGCACAAAATTGTCACACATTTTGACATTCTAGGGTGACCATGACCTTAATCCAACAGCGGCTGTATGGGTTCTGCACATTTTCTTGATGAACATTTAAGCCAATTTTAAGAAAATCCTTCAAGGGGTAAAGGATTTATAGAGCGGACATTATGGAGACAGACGGACCAACAAACAGACAAGACGTCACAAAGTGATTCCAGGAAATCTGGTTAGGTTATAAATATCTATTAACAATCATAAATTTATGTTGAAAAAAATATGTCATGATACATAGTGCACAATAAACCCAATCAAGTACTATAATAAAGTTCAGTAGTTATCTTTCACTTGCTGAGAAATCGGTTATTATTGACATAAAAAAACAAAACAAACAGTAATAAACTTACCAAAATACGAGACTTACATGTGTGTAAATGTCCGGCATGAGAAATGTAAACAACCGTACATCATCTTCTTGACAGATTTTCATGTCGGCCATTAAACACGATTCCAGAGAGTAACCATCTAAACTTTTCACAAAATCTTTGTACGTTGACATTTTTTCATCGTTAAGTTTCCTGTTAAAACAAAGAAATTGTAACCTAACACAAAAATCTTTCTTTAGCATATTTGTAATTTTTGGTTGCGAGATAAGGAAGATGGTTGTGAGAGAAGGAATAAAGACAATCTTAAAGTCATACAGCTTCTTTTAAACATTTACCTTAAGAAGAAGACCTTCAGTACTTCATATATTATTTCAGGAATTGGCACAAGGCCCCATGTTCACAAAGGATAAAGGATCAGGATCAACATTTCAAAATGTCTTTATTCAGTATTCTGAGAACTGAAATTTTTCTGCCTTTGGTTTCTTGCATTCATAAATTTATATCAATATTTAACTGATTCAACTTGTGGCATTCAAAGCTTTCAAAGTTCATTAAAAGGGAAGAAAAATATAAATGATTGATGGCGCACTTTATATTCAACACTATCATAGGGTTCTAAATAAACATCGCTACTGTTGTTTACTCTAAATGCATACAAGACGTTCATCATGGAAAATTCTATAATGACATTCTGAAGTTCAACATACAATTCACACTGAAGTCAATCCTTTCAAACTGTTCTGAAGTACTTTTGTACTTTTATCATTTTTACATACTATTCACTTATTTCATATATTGCTGGAAGAACAATCCTTTTGGCTCATCAGACTTTGATCTTTTGAAAGTACTCAGAGCCTTGGAAACAGCATTTACGTTTTATCTCCTTGACAACACAACATTTTAGTTTCCTTTTTTTTTTCTTCAAATAAATAAATGATTTTTTTTTCAAAATCAATAGGAACTATAACATTATTAAACAATTTGCCAGCAACAGATTTCCAATATTGCAAAAACCAACAAACCCACTATCCCAGCAGCTCTTAGCTCCCTCCCATTTTCTGAAATGTTATTTACTGGTTTTCCGCCCCAAATTGCACTTTTTCACAAATAAAATAAAAATCTGTCTAAGGAATAGTAAAAAACTTTGACAGAACAAAGTAAGGTACCTGTCAAGCATTACCATGTTTTGAATGTTGCTCTATAATTTTACTTTTTAATTGGAATAAAGGCCTAAAATGTAACACCTTTTCTCACTTTTATTCAAGATTTCGTAGCAGTTTTTCGGACCTTTTTTATTTTGAATATAAGTCAGTACCAGTAAGCAGTGTTAAGATGTTGTTTTTTTTTCAAAATAAATATAGCTTCCCAACCTTTTCGGTGTCATCTAAAAAATATATTATTTAAAAGTATTGATTTACCTGGAATTGGATCTCAGGATCTCAGTTATTGTACATGAGCATTCAAACCAAAATTCCCGGGTGTTGCTTATTTTTAAATGTCACAAGTTCTCTTATACCCGTATTTTTAAACAACAGGTACATCTTTAAAACATATCAAATGCTTTACTTTTTTGACTACTGTATTGCATAGAAAACAAATGCTTATCTGAATGATGAAGTAGCATAGAGGCTTAACTGATAAAGAATAGACTGTACTGTATGAAAATGATAAAGGACCGGAAAACTTCAAGGGGCCAGAAAAATGCTTGGGGCCGGAAACTGCTTGGAAACCAGTACTTTCTATACTCCCCATCACAACATGTTGAAACTTACCCAACTTTAAGAAAATACAGTAAATGATATCCTATCCGTGGCTGCTTCATGTACATTTCCCCTAGCAACTGTAACAATGGTATCCGAGACGGTGAATCCTCTGGTGTTGAACTTAAAAACCTTTCAAGAAAAGGAGAAATCAGAGAGAAGAAAATCAATATAAAGTAATTAATATAACAGGATATTTCCTCACCTTAGTGCCATATCGGTCTTACTACATGCTCAATACCATGTCTTCTTATATTTTCTTTTATTTTTGTTGCGTTCAACATTGCACCAGTAAAGGTCATATGGCGACTTTCCAGCTTTACTGGTGGAAGAAGACATCAGGTGCCCCTCTGTGCATTATTTCAGGCACAAACGGGCATCTGAGTAGAACCAAAGACTTTCTGTAAGCTAAGTGGATAGCTTCCTCACATGAAAGAATTCAAAATCCCTAGCAAGATTCAAATCCACAATGGTGAGGGGCAAGTGTTTTGAAGTCAACAATGTTAACCACTTGGCCATAGACGCCCAATGTCTTATTACATTATTGAACCCATGTCTAAATACAGGCATGTCTAAATATTTCAAGGCTAAAGTTCTAGTCTTATCACGTGTTCAAACACAGCCATGTTTTACTTCTCGCTCAATTGCATTTTTTTTTTACTTTGAAGGGGAATTTTCAAAATCAAATTGGAAAACGGCTTATTATCGGCAAATTGTGTATGCAAGAAATCACTGGCAGATCATTTTTTTTATTCATCAAACTGAGATGGTTTTTCTTTCAAACTGCTACCTTTGTAAAGAAGATTACATAAATGTAGATTTTTCTTCTTTTGTTTATTGGATCAGACAATTTTTTTTCCAGTCATTTACATAACAACCTCTATAAATAGTTCCAACCTGGGGCTGTTTTGTATTTTTGATGTTGATTTGTTTTTGTTTGGGCCATTAGTCACCTTTTTATATAAATCTTTTGAAATGCAGTAGAGAATAATAAAATGTTTCAGGAAGACAGAAACACACAAAACAAACACGTGAACCATAGGTCAGACACCAAACATATTTCGTACCGAGTTAACTGACCAGGGAAGAAGTACTTGAGTATTCCATGACAAGGACATCTACACCATTGGCAAACTGATATAAACAATACAGTATATCCAAGGAAAACTACTAAAACAATGATTGAACTCTGGAAAAAACTAATTTGCATTGAAGGGAAATAACTCCTGAAAGCTTGTGCTGAGAATACTAAACAAAACAAGCCTACATGAGTTATCTTTCTTAGGCCTATCAGTCTCATTTTTTCTTAAAGGCCCATTATATAACCATTAAGTTCATTTCTTAAGTTTTTATTTTTGATGTCCTCCGACAATTTCTAACAAGAGGGCCATGATGGCCCTAGATCGCTCACCTGAATTATCAAACTCATCCAAACAATTACCTAGACAAGCATTCTGACCAAGTCTCATGACAGGTGAGTCAAAAATGTGACCACTACAGTGTTAACAAGGATTATCCATATTTGAGCAAGTGCGACCTAGTTTTTTACCCAGGTGACACATATTCAAACTTGACCTAGAAATCATCAAAACAAACTTTCAGACCAATTTCCAGGATACTTGGATCAAAAACAGTAGCAACTAGAGTGTTAACAAGATTTTTCTATTTTTAGCTCCGGTGACCTAGTTTCACATGCGATTTCGAACTCATCCAAGCAATTACCTAGACAAGCATTCTGACCAAGTTTGATGATAATGGAGTCGAAAATGTGACCACTAGAATGTTAACAAGGTTTTTCCATATTTGGGCGGTGTGACCTAGTTTTTCATCCAAGATGACCCATGTTCGATCTTGACTTAGAAATCATCAAAACAAACTTTCAGACCAATTAACAGAATATTTGGATCACAACAGTAGCCACTAGAGTGTTAACAAGATTTTTCTATTTTTAGCTCCTGTGACCTAGTTTTTCATCCGAGATGTCCCATGTTCGATTTATTCCCAGCAATGACCTAGACAAGTTTCCTGACCAAGTTTGATGACAATTGAGTCAAAATTGTGACCACTAGAGTGTTAACAAGGTTTTTCTATTTTTAGCTCCTGTGACCTAGTTTTTCATCCGAGATGACCCATGTTCGAACTCATCGGAGTTATTACCTAGACAAGCATCTTGATCAAGTTTGATGATGATTGATGCAAAAATGTGACCGCTAAAGTGTTAACAAGGTTTTTCTATTTTTAGCTCCGGTGACCTACTTTTTCATCCGAGATGACCCATGTTCGAACTCATCCAAGCTATCAACTAGATAAGCATCCTGACCAAGTTTGATGATGATTGATGCAAAAATGTGACCGCTAGAGTGTTAACAAGGTTTTTCTATTTATAGCTCCGGTGACCTAGTTTTTCATCCGAGATGACCCATATTCGAACTCATCGGAGTTATTACCTAGACAAGCATCCTGACAAAGTTTGATGATGATTGGGTCAAAAATGTGACCACTGGAGTGGTCACAAGGTTTTTCTATTTTTAGCTCCTGTGACCTAGTTTTTCATCAGAGATGACCCATGTTCGAACTCATCCAAGCAATTGACTAGACAAGCATTCTGACCAAGTTTGATGATGATTGGTTCAAAAATGTGACCACTAGAGTGTTCACAAGGTTTTTCTATTTATAGCTCCTGTGACCTACTTTTTCATCCGAGATGACCCATGTTCGAACTCATCCGAGCTATCACCTAGACAAACATCCTGACCAAGTTTGATGATGATTGGGTCAAAAATGTGACCTCTAGAGTGTTCACAAGGTTTTTCTATTTTTAGCTCTTGTGACCTAGTTTTTCATCTGAGATGACCCATGTTCGAACTCATCCGAGCTTTCAACTAGATAAGCATCCTGACCAAGTTTGATGATGATTGAGGCAAAAATGCGACCGCTAGAGTGTTCACAAGCAATTGTGGACGGCCGGACGGACGACGGACGACGGACATTCATCGATCCTAAAAGCTCACCCTGAGCAAGCTCAGGTGAGCTAAAAAGAGAGTCTTTGGCAATATAGCCGAGACATCATTTACTTCAGACGACAAAAAATATCATGCAGGGCTTTTTACAGTGTAATATCAAAGGCCTATAAAACTAGAAATGTGTCCATAGGACACGGATGCCCCCACACGCCACTGTTCTGTCAATCTTATGACTCTAGGTCAAATATTTTTTGGACTACATGTGCCACAAGTTGAAAACTAAAAATCAACAAAGGGCCATAATTCTGTAAAATTTGGTCGCAGCAAAAATTCCTACCTTTACTACCATCTACACATAAGGTTGTTAATCCCTGGAAGTTTAAGCAAAATCTGCATCCGGTTTAAGAGGAGTTGCGTTCACAAAATTTCTACATAGTATATAATGAAAAAAACAACAAAGGGCCATAATTCTGTTAAATTTGGTTGCAGCGAAAAATTCCTTCCTTTACTGCCATCTACACATAAAGGTTGTTCATCCTTGGAAGTTTAAGCAAAATCTGCCATCCGGTTTAAGAGGAGTTGCATTCACAAAATTTCTATATAGTATATAGTGAAAAAATCAACAAAGGGCCATAATTCTGTAAAATTTGGTCGCAGCGAAAATTCCTTCCTTTACTACCATCTTCACCTTAAGGTTGTTCATCCCTGTTAGTTTAAGCAAAATCTTGCCATGCGGTTTAAGAGGAGTTGCGTTCACAAAATTTCTACATAGTATATAGTGAAAAAATCAACAAAGGGCCATAATTCTGTTAAATTTGGTCGCAGCAAAAATTCCTTCCTTTACTACCATCTACACATTAAGGTTGTTCATCCCTGTAAGTTTAAGCAAATCTGCCATGCGGTTTAAGAGGAGTTGCGTTCACAAAATTTCTACATAGTATATAGTGAAAAATCAACAAAGGGCCATAATTCTGTTAAATTTGGTCGCAGCAAAAATTCCTTCCTTTACTACCATCTACACATTAAGGTTGTTCATCCCTGTAAGTTTAAGCAAAATCTGCCATGCGGTTTAAGAGGAGTTGCGTTCACAAAAATTTCTACATAGTATCTAGTGAAAAAATCAACAAAGGGCCATAATTCTTGTTT